CAGTTTCCACTTCCATGTTTTTTTTATTATAAAGAGTGTACTATTAAGTCCGGTGTGTCCCATTCTTAATCTAGTTAATAAACTCTCTTCCTTTCTACAAATCAACTTGTGAAGTTGATTTGTCCTGTTGTTGCCCTTTTTGCTGCCCTATCTGCTGCTTCATTTCCCTCCACCCCAATGTGTGCTGGTACCCAYATGAATGTTATTTCTAAACCCATCATCTGTATTCTAAATAATATTTGCTTTGTTTCTAATAATATGTCCGGCCTGCTTTCTGAGTGGCTGTTCTGTAAACTTAAAAGTGCCGAGCTCGAATCTGAACAGATTAATGTTCTTAATGGTCTTACCTCCTCTACCCACTGTACTGCTAATACTATTGCTGACATTTCCCCGGTGTATACTGACAGTCCATTAGTGATTCTTTTAGCTTGTTTTATATGAAATTCTGGTATTATTATTGCTATTCCTATTTTACCTGTTGAGTCTTTTGATGCATCAATATAAATTTGAACTATGAAATTGGTCTATATATTTCTGAACTATATAAGTTAAAAATGAATCCTTTACATATTTTTTTTTCATTATTGTAAAATCAACTTTTGCCTTTGGTAATATCCATGGTGGTACTGTTGGTAATGGTACTACTGGACTTATTGATATGTTGATTAATTGAATCTCTTCTACTTTTTTTTTCAATCACCCACCCAAAGCTTCTGTTTTCCTTTTTCCCAACATGGTTTTAAAATATCGAATGTTGTATGATCCAGGTTATTTCCTTTTAAATTGATCCAGTAGTTTATTGCTAACCGTGTTCTTCTCAATTCTAACGACAGTTCTCCCATTTCTACTTTAAGTGCTGCTGTTGGTGTGGTTCTAATTGCTCCTGTACAGATTCTAAGTGCTTGATGTTGTATATTGTCCAGTTTTTCCAGATGAGTTCTTGCTGCTGATGCACATACCTGTATTATACTGCCATAATCTACAGTATATTTGATCATATCATTGCTGTGTATATTTTCTTTAATGCTGTTCTATCTGCTCCCCATTCTTTTCCAGCTAAGCATCTCATTATATTTAAGATTTTCTTATATTTATCAATAAGTTTCTGAATGTGAATGTTCCATATTACTTTTCCATCAAATCATATTCCTAAAAATTGTATGCTCTTTACCCACTCTATATCTTGTCCATACATTTTCAACACTTAGTTCTGTACTTCTTTTTTGAGTAAATATCGATTTTGTTTTCCCCACTGAGAATTTAAACCCCATTCATATGCCTATTTCTGTATATTATATTTATTGCTTTTTGTATTTTCTTTATAATGAATTCTACATTTCTACCTCTTTTCCATATTGCTCCATCGTCTGCAAAAATTGAACGTCCCTGTTACGGTTTGGTACAGGAATGAACCCAAATCCAGGCGGAGGATGAAGTTTTTAAATAAAAAGTATTTATTTAACAAAAAAAAAACTAAAAGCTGACAGGGCAGCAAAAACAAGAAAAGTCGGGACAACAAGGGAACATAACGGGAGGTAAGAACCAAACAATGAACCAGTGAGTAAGTGAGAGCTGAACCAGACTTAAATACAAACTGAGGGAATGATGAAATGAACTACAGCTGATGAAAACACTAATTAGGAACTACTGATAGGTGTGTGTAATTGACTGAGGAGGGAAATGACAGGTAAACATCTGAGGCGTAATTAAGATGAAGAAACACCAGAGGGAGGAAGACACCAGACAACAGAAAACACAATCCTACAGAACCTCCCCTCTACATATCGTCACCCAATGATACGACACGAACACGGGGACAACAACAACAACAACAACAACAACAACAACAACAACAACACTGGACGGAGGGACAGAAACAAAAGACAATGGAGGGAACACAAAAACAGAAAACTAAACCAAAAACCGACAGGAAAAAAAGTCTTGGGAAAAAAAACGTAAAAAACAAAAACAGTCTCAAAGATGGCCCAAGGCACATCTGAAGGGTCCAAAGAGTTCTGGTGGGTGCCCAGGAACCCAGCAAAGACGAGGCAGGAGCTCAGGAGGGTGACCGTGGACACAGCCACAGCAGAGGAGGAGCTCTGGCAGACAACCTTGGACTCTGCCACAGTGGAGGCGGAGCTCTGGTGGGTGGCCGTGGATCCGACTGTGTCAGAGGCGGAGCTCTGGCGGACGGCTGTGGATCCAACCGCGTCGGAGGCGGAGCTCAGTTGGGCCGCTTTGAGCCCAATTGCGGCGAGGATGGAGCTCTACCACGGCGAGGATGGAACTCATGAGACTCTGCAGGGGCCGGCTCTGGAGGAGACTCTGGGGGCCGGCTCTGGAGGAGACTCTGCAGGGGCCGGCTCTGGAGGAGACTCTGCAGGGGCCGGCTCTGGAGACACTGCATGCGGCATGGAGAACTCTGCTGCAAATGACAAGGAGTCAACTGCAGGCAGCGAGGATTCAGCTGCAGACGGCATCGATTTAGATTCAGGAGCCTCAGGTAGACCTGGGGACTTAATAATCCCACCCGGGGACTCTGAAGGCTCATTCGCTGGCTCCGACTCCGACGGCTCAGGTGCTGCAGCAGGCATAGAGAGCATCTCCACAAGAGCTGTCATGAAGACCACTGGGGTGGTGACCACCATCTCCCTCCCTTCAAGACCCTCCTCACAGGAGGTGGATGCTTCAACTCTCTGGAGAGCACAGGGAGCTGTAGAGGCGTTAATCGTCTGGGGAGCGCAGATGGAGGTAAAGGCGTCGAAGCTCATCTCTGGAGCACAGGAGGCGGAGGCGTCGACCCTCTCTGGAGCACAGGAGGCGGAGGCGTCAACCCTCCCTGGAGCGCAGGAGGCGGAGGCGTCGACCCTCTCTTGAGAGCAGGAGGCAGTGGAGGGGTTGACCCTCTCTGGAGAGCAGGAGGCAGAATGACCAGGTGGCTCGTCTGAACAGGGACCAGGAAGCTCTACGGAGCTGGACCCAGAAAACTCGGTGGAGCTGAAGCAAGATGGCTTGGCGGAGCTGGGACCCGGTGACTCAGGTGTGACTACAGTCTTTTTCCGACAGCAGTGGGAGGAACTCAGAGGTGGCCCAGGTAAAAAATAAGTGCGCTTAAAGGCATTTAAAGTTTACTACAAATTCATTTAGTATACTTATTGTACATTTATATTTTTAACATGCTTACTGCAAGTGCATTAAAAATATATTCTGTTGCACATTAACATTCTTTTAAAAATTATACTTAAAATTAATTTCTAATAAATATATGCTTAAATAAACTCTTTAATTATATCTCCCTTATTCAAAGTTGTGTCACAAGGGCATGTGACGTGTGAAAGTGTTGAATGAGAAACTTTCCTCACAATGTTAAACAAAAATTACAAAAATAAGTGACACTTTACTGTTTCTACTATGCAAAGACTGTGTACATTTTTAATGTTGTTGATATTTTCCAGACTGCGCTGTGGATTCATCTCCAGTTGTCCCAGACAAGGCCAGCATCTCCACACCACCTCCTGAAGCTCATGTCTTCACTACACGCCCTGATGCTACATCTTCAAACCACCCTCTGCACCACATCTGAACTCAGTCCACACCCAGTGGGAGGACCCTTCACAACAGGATCACACATACTTCCACACATCTCACAGAAAGGACGTGCAGGACAAGATGACTCAGTGTGATGAGGTTTGTTACGGTCCCGGGGTCTAGGATAC